TTGACTACATTTATGAACTTGCTATCTCCTGGATACATGAGAGCGTGACTCGATGGCCACATTACTGTATTAAATAGTTTTCCCCATCTTGGCTAAAGACGATATAATATGGGAGTCAGAGGTAGAAACTATTGTGCGCTCAATCATTTATCTATGATTACCACAAAGTATACACGGGACGCCTGCGCATTTTTATTATCACGGAAGTACTGACCGACGGTTCTGAGTACATTGCACGAAGGTCCCAATAAGTTGCTATAGGATAGTGTATACGAAATCCTTAGGGGAAGTACCGGTCTTGGAACAGCTGATGTGGTCATCATCTAAACTGCGCAAAGAATAGTAGTATCTTGCCGGTTGGAGAATCAGGGGAACGTTTAATGGGGACACTATAGGTGACGCTGAATACTTAATGTCCCCAGGGCACTACGCTTCATAAATGTGGCGTTAGTGTAGCTATGTGGATACGTGAACTATGCCGCATTGAATGCTATACTTATTTGAAGTCATATGTCTTCCATCTATTTTTAATCACGGCCACATTGCATTCTTATTCTTCGGCAGGAAGCTTTCTCTGTAACATTACTTTATAAATATCCTACAACAGGTGCAATGAAGCCAAGCCCAGTAGGAAAGCTATGCGGGCTGATGTATTTATTATCGTTATTAGTTCGCGCAACACATTTAATATCAGAGCATTCAAGATCCTAGAACTTCTAAATGACAAAATTTCAAGGATGTCAAAAAGGTAATCCAGCTTTGCATGGTAAGGCCGCCCGAGTGGCACGTAAGGTTAATCATGGATTGACCCAAAGATATAGGACCTACAAGTCAAACACCACGGCCAAACCGAATAGCGCATGACCTGACATTGAACCCAAACCCACTATTTCAGACAAGAACAAGATTAAAAGATTATAGTCTTTACCGTAGTCTACAAGATGCCTGGTTTCAGAAACTATCAATTAAAGATGTAGATTTGATCACAGACATGTTGACCAATCTAGCCGAAAACAAAGCCGACACATATTATCTTCTGGTCGCTAAAATGCTTACCGTTGTGTTCCGCGACGAGAAATCAGCCGATTCTGTTATAAGGAAATTACCAACGATGATGAGAATCGCCCTCAAACACATACTGGTTAACAGCTGGTGTGGAGAAGAAACACGGATCTTTGTCGAATATCCAAAGACTGGGCAGAAGGATCGCATGTCTTGTTGGAAGCAGCGACTGCAGCTGTATCGAGGAATTCAGAAAGGAATATCGGAGTTCGGGATTGAGTATAACAAGAACCTTGCCAAGTTTTCGGATCCTCTTCCTAGTTTGCATAATTTAAGTTTTGCCGGCTATATAAGGTACTGGATGGATATTTGGGCCAAGGTCCAACACCAAGGCCACAAAGCTTTCGTGGACTACTTCGACCCATGGAGGGCGTTGGCTGCCAATGTGTTCCAAATGACCCATCTGCCACGAGAAGAAATCAAATTTCTTTATCCTATTGTAAAAGAGTGTTTGGCCCGCCTGACGCTACATTGTAGAGATCTTGAGAGCTCGATGGAGAGAATAAAAGAGGAAGCAGAGCATATGAAAGCGACATCACAAGAGCAGAAAGCGAGTATAGAAAAGCTGGAAGAAGAAGTGCGTTACTCTGCCGCGGCATTTCAAGAGCTACTGGCATGTTTTGACGCCGGCATCGGTATTGAGAAGCAAGCGGCCATCACCAGACCAGAAACATCTACAGCACTTTCAGAAGGTCGATATGGAAAAAAAGATGGGGAAGATGAGGAGCAGGAAGCGAGGGTAGAGCCCACGATCCCGCTACCCAAAATGCAAGGAATGGTAGACTGCATTAGGGAACGGTTCAAAAACGACCAATTAAAGATTCAAAATACGCGCGACAATATAGATGATCTGAAAGCCATAATAGCCGAAAGAAATCAGAAAATTGGCGGTCTCGAAAGGCAACTTAGGGAAAAGGATGGCATGTTGTCACAAGCAAACGAGGATTTAGCTCATATCATAGACAGCCTGAGAAAGAGCCAAGACAAGATCGAGGAGCTGAATGAGGAACTTGAACGTGGAAAAAGTAATAGCACAGTTCCATGGGAACCGGAGACGAAGCGACAGACTGAAATACATATAGAACATGCAGGACCTTTCCTTACAAATGATGAAAGCAGAACACAGAAGGCCGAAGGGTTGCAGAGAAATCTAGAAGAGGCAGAAGTAAAGATTCAACTTCTACAGGAAAGTAACAAGATCCTGAGTAAGGAAATGGAGGCTCTGGTCACCGACGGCGGATCACAGCAACATGGCATGGACGTGTCAGCTTTCCCTATTGACCCAGCAAAGAACATTCATGAATCGAAACTTTGCCATTCCGCAGAAAAAGGCAAGGATGGAGGTGATGGTAATGAAAGCCACTTAGATTGTCTTGGAGAATCACAAAGGCTCGCGGAGTCCCACGTGGAAATCCAAAATATGAAAGACAAGATGGCGGAAAAAAGCTTACTCATTAAGAAGTTGAGATCGGATCTTCATGACCTTAATCAACGCTGTGTACAACAGAGTTTAGAACACGGACCAATACGAGCAGAACGGGACACCCTGCAGTCGACACTACTCAAGGTGCAGGAAGCTGTGAAAGGTCAAACGGAAGAACGAATGATATTTGAGGGCGAATATGATCAACTTGTGACCTGGATAGGAAGCCAGGTCACGCAATACCGCGCTGCAGAAGAAAGTCTGAAGACCTTACAATCCCAGCAAGAGACACTAAGGGAGGAACTTGAGCGGACAATAGAAGGAAAAGAACGACAGATTAAAGACTTGAGAGAGGAAGCAGTGGACCGTTTGAGAGTCCAGCAAGAAAGGGACAGACTGAAGTCCATATTATGTAAACTTGAGGAAGACGTCATTACACATGTGGAAAGAAAAATTAGTTTCAAAGATGGACATACTCAACTGGTAGACTGGATAAAGGAGCAGGCCGAGCATCACCGCGCGGCAAAGGAAGATCTGAAAACCTGCCAAGCTCAGCGGGACAGGCAATCGGTGAAGCTGACTGAACTATCCTCAAAACTAGAGATGGCTATGAAACATATTAAAAGCATTCACCAGATCCCAAAGCCTGCCGAGGATATCATAGGGCAGCCCCAAGAAACTGTGATGTTATTGAAGAATGATGCGACCGAGTTGGAAAGAGGCCAGAATGCGTGGAATAATGCAGCTATAGAGCAACCCATTGAGGCTACAAATTTGGAACCTGGAAAGGAGAGCCTGCAAGAAGGACCAAAGCGGCTTCGACATTATGTCCACACATCCAACAACGAAATACCAATAGCACATACCGTAACACAGGATGGAAAGACCTTTACAGAGAGCACCTATGGAAACAGATTATTGGATTCAAATACCAGCGTCACTACACTGACCACCCAAATAGACAAGGTTTTAGGCTTTTTCTTGGAGAAGCACAATCGTGA